AAGAGTTGGGCTCAAAGGTATTGGATGACAATGTCATCTCTAGCGCACCCTTCAGCTCAATGCCAGTGTTGTTACTGAGGCTGTCGAAACAGCCATGCATCAGTCACATACCTGTGAACCTTGACCCGAGAGCCGCAAAGTCGATGACAAGAGGGTCGATGTCACTGTGCTGATGCGCTATGATAGCCCTCGGCTGGCTATATAATCCTGCGGGTGAGCTCACCCGGTAATTGTGGTCATGCTAGACAGTCCCAGGGATTGCTCCGGCGATAAGTCATATTGCGAGTTGGCGAAGTTTGTCCGAGTGATTAGCGCTACATGTCGGGGTGCCTGACGGTAAGACAGAAACTTTCAATGTGCAGCTCATCGATGCGAAGCTCGATTTTAAATTCATGAAACTCATGCTGTAAGTGCAAGTCCATGATATAACATATTCAAGGAATGGGACCTTCGCGACTGAACGGGAAAGATCATCACAGCTCTTCGAAAACACTCAATGCCTCTCACGTCATGGACATTCGCATTCTTTTGACTTAGACAGAATCATACAGGGAAGGCAATGCGGCCTAGCGGCAGTGCAATTCGCTGTTAGCGTTCGTGTAAAATGATAGCCCGACGATCCCATCTGTTCTTACAGTCATATCGTATTGGTGGCGCTGGTAAGGAGCCACTCACGATGATGTTCGCCTTTACCGCCGTTGTCGTGACCTGCAAAGGCCATAACATTGGATACATGGAAAGTTGACCCATTGTTCTCGTTGAGACATCCGGGCTTGTTGCCAAAAGTCTTGCACGGGAATGTGTTCAGTGAAATATCCAAGCTCTCTCAGTGCACACACGTACATCTGAAACACGGAAGCTTGAGGTCTGCTGGTCAAATATGATAAAGTTGATGCTGTTGATGAGCTTCTGCTTGTAGAAATTTTGGTAACCAGCACGGCCATAGATAGCTAGGATGATTTCCGAGTCTAGAATAGATTTGCATTCAGCAATTATTTAGTGGAACGTGGTATCAGCCTTGACACGCCTTGCAAGTTTATGGTTGCGCGGTTGTCCGCGGATTCAGCAAATTCGCCATGCGTCACTGTGATATTCCTGAGGTTAGGATGTTTGAGTTTATAGTGTATTTTCAATCCGTCGAGCTGGCCCCCGCAGTGCATGAGTTGAACGCAGATGATGGAAAGTAGGAGAAACCCACAACCCATCCAGCACTCAACTCAATCCGAGTAATGGGGTGATTGAGGTCAAGCATGAGCTCACCTGAGGCATAGTGAAGTAGAGCACGCATACAGCCAAAGATGTGGCGCTCACCATC